CCCCGCCCCCGCCCCCGCCCTCAGCGCCCCGGGATGCAGGTGGGAAAGGCTCTGAGACACTCTTCCTGTGCATCTGGTTATCTCGAAGCCCCGAGGCAGCTAATTCACTTGGCAGCACTCTACTTCTTCCACCCTCCCGCAGCACCCTCTGGGCCCAGCATCCCCGGTGGCCGCTACGGAGGCAGGAGCCGCAGGTGCTCTGGCTTCCGAGGGGCAGATTCAAGGAGTGGCTGAGCTCAGGAAATGCGCTGTGACTTGGGTCCTCCTTTGGGGCCACTTTCTTGCCCCAATCCCCTCTCAGGGATGACCTAGAGCCCATACCGTAATTCTGACGAGCTTGTGATAATTTGTTCAGGCTGGAACCCAGTCATGTCTTTTGAACGTAATATAGGGTATGAATGAAAAAGAAAACGCTTTCCCTAACTCCACCCTGATAAATACTTACGTTTATCAATATAGTCTCTGTTCTCCTGTGATACAGAGATTTCTATACATATTACGTATTTATAACAAAAAGGTCTGTACTAAACATTATCTAATATAACCTTTTTCTTTATAAATTACCTTGAAAAATTTTTCCTCCTAGTATATTTATCTATTTAAAAAAAATTTGGAAATATTTATTTATTTGGTTGTGCTGGGTCTTAGTTGCGGCAGGCAGGCTCCTTAGTTGTGGCATGTGAACTTTTAGTTGTGGCATGCGTGTGAGATCTAGTTCCCTGACCAGGGATCAAACCCGGGCCCCCTACATTGCAAGCTCAGAGTAGCCACCGGGGAAGTCCCTCCTCTTAGTGTGTTTAAATGGGTCTCCTTCCTTCTTAATGGTTGCATAACATCCCATACTATAGTTGTACCCTGACTTACGTAGTCTGTTTCAAGTTGGAGTATTTGGGGATAGTTTTAATTATAATAATGCTGGGTTGAGCTTCCTTGTACATTCATCCTCGCTGATTGTGTTCACGCAAGCAATATTTACTAAGCTTATCCTCTGTGCCGGCAGTTATTCTGGTTCCTGGGGACACTGTGGTCAGCAAAGTACACAAAAATTTCTTCATATAAAAAACAAAATTTCTTCATACAGCCTCTTGTTCTAGTGGGTGGAGACTGTGAATACAAAAGTAAATATATAAAATAAATAGTTTGTTAGATGTTGGTAAGTACTACAGAGAAAAATAAAAGCAGGGAAGAGGGTATTTAAATCAATGCCACCATTCAGCCATTTAACAATCATTTAATAAATATATTTTATAATTCCTATGTGCCTGCAACTTACTATTATGCATCAGAAGGTCAAAAAACATCTTTGTTATGCCACCAGACTGTATGAGAAAGCAACAGACCTGTATTTATTTCAGAGTCACCTTGCAACTAATAATGAACAGGAAGTAGAGCTCTGTTCTCAGTATATTTTCAAGGTCAACCAGGCAGTCACCCGTGATTATTTTTCACGTCTAATATTTGAGGCAGTATCGCCTTGCTTTGTTGCAGTTGGTGCTAAAACACAGAAAAAAAAAAAAAAAAAAAATACAAGACCGAGAGAAATGTACATTGAAAAGGAAAAAAGCAGAAACGTCACGTGGAGAACCTGGGAACAAGGAAGAATATCGTGGGGACTGTCTGAGTCACAGTGCACCTTCAAATAAAATAAATATTTAAAATAAATAAAATAAAATTTTAAAAATAAATAAAATTTAAATAAAAAATAAATAAAATTTATAAATAAAATTTATAAAAAGATTTAAATAAAATTTTTAAAAAGAGCAGGGAAGAGGGATAGGGAGTTATTGGTTTCCTCCACTCTCAGGGACCCCTGGGGTTATAATATTAGGAAGATTCCACATGAACATGACATTTGAACAAAATCTCAAAGGAGATGGTGGATTGATCCATGTAGCTCCTTGGAGGTAGTGAGTCCTAGGCAGAGCAAATGGGCAGGTAAGTTAGGCAACGGGCATGCGTAGAATGTTCTAGCAGGGGAGCCCTTTTGACTGGAGCTGAATGAGCAGGGGGACAAGGACAGGTCATGAGGTCGGGGAGATAATAGGACCAGGATGACAGAGGACCTCAAAGATCAGTGTAGGACTTTGGTGTTTACCTTGAGTGAGATGGGAACCATTATACCTGAAGGCAAGTTCCTAAAAGTGGAATTGACCCCAACTTCTAAATCAGACCCCCAAAATGTGATTTGTTCCTCAGCCCTGAGCCCAAATCTTACCTCAATCCTGACCCCTACCCCAACTCTATTTTTGTCCCATAGTTTGGCCCATAATAGACATTATTGCTGCCTACTCAAACATTCATTCCTTCTGTCTTTCTATCAGAGCCCCAATTTTGTTTGGATAATCTTTTATCCTCATCATGATTGTAACCTTTACTGCACCAAACAGAAAAGCCATTTCTGCCTGCCAGCGATTGGTTTAGAAATGAACATGTGATGCAGTTCTGTCCAATGAGGAATGAGGGGAAGACCACTGGGGCACTTCTCGGAAAGACGTTCTTATTTCCAAAAAGAGACGCCGGAAGAATTCTCTTTTCTTCTTCTTCAAGATGGTGCCCCTTCTGGATATTAACTCTGGAGTGGTGGAAGCCTTCCTGGGACTGGGGAGAGAAGTGGCTGGTGGACCAAGTCAAAACACCGCAGATGGTCAAGCAGAGAGATGGAGTGACATAACAAGATTTGTGTTTTCTAGCTGCTATACGAAGGGGATTTTAAGGGGATGTGGAGACATGAGGAAACTATTGTTATTGTTCAGATGAGAGATGATGACTTGGATAAAGCCATTGGGGAGGTGGAGGTGGTAATAAGTGGATGGATTCAAGATGCATTTAGGATAATCAACAGGGTTTGGTGATGGGTTGAATGGAAGTTGTGGTGAGGGAGACAGGTGTTAAGGCTTCAAGGTCTCTTGCTTGATGGATGGATAGTGAGAAGACACGGCTGGATATGACCAAGCGCCTATGAGAGAGTGAACAAGACCTCACCCTTTTTTAACAGAATGCTGAGGAGGCAGGGGCTGAAGAGAGAATCCAGGGACTTCACGCATAATTCTAACTCCAATCCTTACTTTGACACAATTCTCAACACCAATCTTTTTTTTAATAATACAATTATTTTATTATAAGCCTGAATATCACATGACACATATTCCAAAACGAAACAATGTTGTATGGGAAACAGAATAAATACGCATATTGAAAGATGGTAGTCTATCTTCTCATCCACCACTGACGTCAGTAAAGGATACAGTCAAATTATAGAAATGTAAAAAGGTATCACATAGGTTTCACTTTGAATTCTGACCAAGCTTGGTATCTGACGGTAGAAGACGCATATACTAAGGCTCAACACCGATATTGATGCAAGCATGAGTTTTAACCTGAAACCTTAAGTCGTACCCAATCCTAACCCTCAATTCTGCTATATCCTTGACCAATTCTAAACTTTTACGTCAACTTGGAATCTAGTTCCTACCAAGTTCCTGCCTCCAAATATCAACTCAGGCTAGATTCCACCCCTCAATCAACCTTAACCCTGACTCGTGACTCAAACCCTGGATCCCTAACCATAACCCAAACTCAACCTTGACCCAAACACTGAATGTCACCATAGCCTCTGTCCCAAACCTGACCACATGCACCAGTCACACCAATCCCAACACTCTGACTCCAGTCCCGGCCCTACTCTCATCTACAGCCCAATTTCTGCATGAAATCCCATCCCATTTCCATGTCAAACTCTTTCCCTCACCCCACCTTCACTTTTCCAACTCCATACCCCACCCGACTCCATACTTCCTTTCACACACTAAAATAAAGTTCACCCCTTAACACCATACAGTTGATCCCACACTGACTAAACTCAAGTGAAGTCCCCAAAACTTCTGAGACACTTACTCTCATCAAATTCCAAACCAGACCCCAGAATTCGGACCCCCGACCCCACTAATTCCACTCTGGGACCCCGGGCATGAGGTGTGTCAACCCTCTCGACTTGGGCTCCCAAATCAGGTAGGGGCAGATGCTAGGCCACTCGACCTCACAGCGCCGTGAGCCAGCAAGCTGTATCTTGCCCTCCTGGCTTCCCAAAGAGAGGAATTCTGGCGAGACTTCCAATCTGTTATCTGTCGTCCAAATCTTCGTTCCTGGATTCTCTCTTCAGCCCTCTGCTTCCTCGGCATACGGTTAAGAAGAGGAAAGCAGACACTACTCTGGAGCCCTGCTATCCACTCCTCAATCACCAGAATGTCTCTTCTGGTGTGCTTGGCATATATGTCTTTTTTTTTTTAAGATTTAATTTTTTAAAATTAATTAATTAATTTACTTATGGCTGTGTTGGGTCTTCCTTTCTGTGCGAGGGCTTTCTCTAGTTGTGGCAAGTGGGGGGCCACTCTTCATCGCGGTGCACAGGCCTCTCACTGTCGCGGCCTCTCTTGTCGCGGAGCACAAGCTCCAGACGTGCAGGCTCAGTAGGTGTGGCTCACGGGCCTAGTTGCTCCGCGGCATGTGGGATCCTCCCAGACCAGGGCTTGAACCCGTGTCCGCTGCATTGGCAGGCAGATTCTCAACCACTGCGCCACCAGGGAAGTCCTAAGATTTAATTTTTTATTTATTTTGGCTGCATTGGGTTTTTGTTGCTGTGCACAGACTTTCTCTAGTTGTGGCGAGAAGGGGCTACTCTTTATTGCGGTGCTCAGTCTTCTCGTTGCAGTGGCTTCTCTTTGTTGTGGAGCACGGACTCTAGGAGCGTGGGCTTCAGTAGTTGTGGCATGTGGGCTCAGTAGTTTTGGCGTACAGGCTTAGTTACTCCGCAGCATGTGGGATCTTCCCGGACCAGGGATAGAACCCATGTCCCCTGCGTTGGCAGGCGGATTCTTATCCACTGTGCCACCAGGGAAGTCTGGCATATCTGTCTTTCTGTTGTTGTGGGGGTTTCTTGGTCGTGTTGGGTCTTAGTTGCAGCAGCAGGCTCCATAGTTGTGCCATGCATGTGGGATCTAGTTCCCGGGCCAGGGATCAAGCCTGGGCCCCCTGCATTGGGAGTGTGGAGTCTTAACCATTGCACCACCAGGGAAGTCCCTGTCCTTCCGTGTTCTTCACTATTTAATCTGACTTTATTGCTAAACACTGGTCTTCACAAGCAGAGGAAATGTGTCTTGCATTCAAAGGTGTTTTTATAAGCACCCAGCCCAAACCAGGGAGTGTAGGAGGCACTTAAATAAATACTGGTTGGCAAAGCGCTGTCACCCACAGATCAGTCAACAGCCCAGTCATTCCTTGTTCCCTGAGCCATTCAGCCACAGGGCGTGATAGGAAGAACTTGACTTCACAAGTCAGACAAACCCAGGTTTCACCAACCCTGGGTGCCCTCCTCGTGATCTCAGGTAAGTGATTTAACTTTTCCCAGCCTCACTTTGCCCCTCTCTAAAGTGGAGGAAAGCAAAATATACTTCTCAAGGCAAGTGAACGAATGAAATAACATGGGCTGCCTCACCTCATCCTACCAGGAACGAGGCAGCTTCCATTCCTTACGCATCTACCATGTGATGTGTTGGATGCTCTGCAAACCACGTGTCTATGCGTCTCATGGGACCAAGCGAGGACTGTCTTCCCCATTTTACAGATGAAAAAAGGGAAGTTTAAAAGAAGGTAGAACCCTCGTGCAAAATCGACGGCTCAGGAGGCAGAACGGTCAGAATTCGAATGCTGAGGATTGCCCATAGTCTAACCATTGCACAAACCCACAATCTGAGAAGGACGTTTCCCTGGGACACTGTCACATATGCTCAGAATCTCTTTTGGTTAAAAATGAACTCGGAACCCCATAGCCTTGTTATTAATGATGCATGCCCCCACGTTGACGAGAGCCCCAAATCCCCAGTCCTCTCGTGCCCTTTGGGTTTGGTCCCGTTCCTAAGTCCCACCCAGACACCCAGCTTCATACTTCCTTTGCACACAGACTTATGTCCTGATCCTTTGCCAGATGACTCATCTTCCAGCTCATGATCACACCTGAGAACTGGTGTCTTGCTGTGCTGCAGCAGCTGTCCCTTACTCTAAGGGACCAATCATAAGCAAAGGGGGCGGGGCTTCCATGAAGGGGACAAATCCAAGGGGAGCCGTGAAGACTGAAGTTGCAGCCAATAGGAAAGAGAGTGTTATATCTACGGCAAATCTCAAGATGTGTCACCTTGGGGTTGGGGAGCTCACTGAGGGAGCATTGAAGTCAGTGGCGCCATTCCGTGGCCAGCTGGGAAGACAGCACTGCTCCCCAAGGAACCAATCATAGGAGAAAGCAATCATGCTAGGGAACCCAGTCAGGACTCGAAGAAAAACAGCTGACTACCTGATCATCGGTAAAGTCAGCACAGATTCCAGGCACTGACACTGAGAAATAGCGCAGGGAGCTTGCGCACCCTCTAGACGCAGACTCTTTCCTTCACGGACTTATCCTCTCACTCCCTTTAATCCCCACCTTGTCCCTGCACCCCACCCTGCAGACAAGCGTTCCCAAGAAAACAACAAGGACAATTCAATTATTCTGATTCCTGTGCTGTGTCACCTGCAGGGAGAGTGTGCCTTCTCTGAACCTGCTTCCCCCTCTGTAGAGTTAGGGGTGCTGACTCTTGGGGATCACCCCACTGCCAAGCCTCCAGTCTCTACAGGGCGAATGAGGGAAGAAGAGGGTTTCAGAAGTCACTCACCTGGCATGTATCAGCCCCACTGCTTTCATTTGCACAGACCATACTATCTGTGACTTGCCCAGGGTAGGCATCTTCACACTGCTTCTCAGGAATAATTTCTACTTCTGTGCAGTTGAGGGTGTCAGGAAAATTCTCTGAGGGGGCAGAGGTTGCAAGTTCCCAGAGAGAGCAACCCTTTCTCCTCCATCCCTGTCTGTAGCTAACCTCCCTTCTGTGTATCCACAGCTGCACAGGGTTTTCTGACACATTTCACAGGGCACATCACTTCTCACCACATGAAACAAAGCCATGGCCCCTGCTGTTTCTTTTTCTCCACCTAAAGCAGGACCTTTGGACCCTACCTTTCGTTTCTTGCCCTGAGTTATTTTCAAATTAAGGTGCCCCCTTGGGACACCTCTGACCCTTTCTAATCTTTCCATTCCCAGACCACCAGGTCTTCAATCTCAGCTAAATCCTACTTCTTCCAAATATCACCTCTTCCTAGAAGCCTTCCCTGACTATTCTAATGAACACAACACATCTCGGGACTTCCCTGGCAGTCCGGTAGTTAAGACTTCTTCCAATGCAGAGGGTGTGGGTTTGATCCTGGTCGGGGAGCTAAGATCCCACATGCCTCAGGGCCAAAAAAAACCAAAACATAAAGTAACAACTTCAATAAAGACTTTCAAAACATTGGTCCATATCAAAAAAAAATCTTAAAAAAACCCCAAAACACCACATCTCCATCACTCCCTATTCTCTTCCCCCCATGATATTCCATTATAGCACTTGACTGTACCTAATATTTCATTTTACATGTATTTGTTTATTGTCTATTTCCCCACCTAGCATGCAACTCCATAAGGTTTTGTACACTACAGTACCTGGGGGCCTATCAGATGCTCACAAAATAAGTGTTGGATTGGCGATTGACAGTGGAATTAATCTTTCTTATTAACCTTTGAAGAATAGACTTGAGAGGGAAAAAATTCTATCTGGTGCCTCTATGTGCCAGAAGGTATAGGCCCACAGTCTCATTTAACCCTCACAACAGCTCTTTGAAGGAGGAATGCTTTCATTCTTTCATCCGTGCATGCTTTCAACAAATGTTTGTTGAACACATACCGTACACCAGTCACCACCCTGGGCACTAGGAACACACAGTGAAGCAAATAGATATAACCTGAGCCCTCATGGAGCTTAAAAGTCTATTGGATAATTATCCCAGTTTTGTAGAGGAGGAAAGTGAGGACAAGAGGTGGGAAGGGACTTGCCCAGAGAAAAGGGGCAGAGCCATGGTTTGAAATGACCTGCCTGGTTCGTGAGCAGCTAGGTTTCCACAGCATCCCATTGTCTTCTTAGGAGTCAGACAGGCAGGGACCTGAATCTTGACCTTGCTTTCCTGACGAACTACATCACCTCTCGGAGCTGAGCCCCGGTTTTTTCACTGTGAAGCAGAGCAAGGGGCTACCTGAGCCCTGAAGCCCCAGACGGAGGACCTCCATGGAGGTCCAGACTTGTGGGTCCAGAGCGAGGAGGGAGCTGGGGACCTAGACTGTGAGTCCTGGAGGAGGAAAGGCCTGGACTCCTGGGTGTGAGGGGATCTGGGGCGAGGAATCTTGGGTTCAGGAGGGAGAAGAGGGAGCCTGTTTTCCTGGGCCACCGAGGAGCCCACGTATCCTAAGTCTGTTGTGAAGACTACGTAAAATCCTGTACCCATAAAGGGTCTCATAACTCTCCACCTTAAAGGAGGGATGCATTCATCCACCCACTCATTCATTCATCCATCCACTTTCTTGAGCCCTGTTAGCAATCTGTTCATTTGTTTCCTTTCTCCCACCACTCCTGTTAATATTCTGGTCTTTAAGGTTTCTAACATGGACCACTCGTGAACTTCAACATCACAATCACTTCCCTTTCTTTACCTACTCTACAGGCAAAGCTTTGCCAATGGCTTGGGGTCCACTGGGCCAACCAGCTTCTCCTCTCCCTCCCACTACCTTGGGGGCTGGTGACAGAGGTCCAGCTTGAGATGGTGCACTTCTGGCCAACTTGAGGGCAGTGATCTGCCAGGTTGATGGACTTCACTTTGGGCCCCAGGGATGCCCGTTCACATGGTCAAATGAGCATCAGATCATGGTTGTGGTCCTTGTTGCTGCTGTTGTAGTAGGGGTGTGGGATGGACTGAGCCACAGCCGTTTCTTGTTCTGACCCATCCTTATTCTGCAGACCGTGATCTCCCAGGCGGACTGTGTATTTCGTGTAATGATGGGGGTAGTTCGGGAGCCAGGCAGGGATAAGGGCTCCCAGCCCCCTCCTCTCTAAGACCCAGGAGTCCAGGTCCCCTCTTCTCTCAGAGACCCAGTCCCCAGCTCTCGCCTCCTGAGGCAAAGCCCCAGCCCCCTCTTGCCCCAGGCTCCAGCCCACCTCTGCCCCCGGAATCCACTCACAGTTTTTTACAGTGGGCTGCTGTGAGGACACAGTGGTCATCTATGAGAACATCCCCACATATTAGCTGGACACCCTGGAGAAAGGCCGTCTGCCAGGGCTGGTAATGGGGCCTGCACTCCTGGCCCTCCAGCACCTCGGTCTCCTGTGCTCTCAAGTGTCCTGCAGCAGGAGAGAGAGGGTTGGATCACCACCCACTGGGTCAGTGCAGGGGCCAGGAAAACCACTGTGGTTTCAAACAGATACACCCACACACCCCCTCCGGTGTTTGCCTCCCAGCTTGCACTTGCTGCTCCACAGATACACAGGTACACTCATGGAAGCCCATGAGTCATCACACACAGAGTCACACACCTGAGCATGTGTCCACATGCCCCGTATACTCCTGTGTGTATCTGTGCCCCTAAGCAGGCAGTCCTGCTGGCTTAGCGCACTCATGCGATACCAGCAGAACTCAACACATTCCTACCTGCTGCCGCGTGCCCCGTGCCTCCAGCCATGCCGCAGAAGCTCCCACACGTAATTGCGTGCTTCCCATCTCCCCGCATGCCACCACATGCACCCTCTTAGCCACCACCATGGAATTCCCACAGGCTCAGGTGCTCCACGGATGACTTCCGGGCCCCCCCTCCGCCCCCCACCTGCCCGGGATTCCAACGGCAAGAGCGGGAACATCTCGATCCAGACTCTGCAGCAGCTGTGGGATGTCCCATGGTGGGGTCCGGGAGACAGAGAGGACAGGGCTGAGATCCTAGGGGTCTTGGGATTGCAGAGGAAGCAGAGCTTCTGGAGTAGTGCTTCTGGGTCCCGCTGGAGGAAGGGGCTGGGGACCCAGATCCCTGGCTCTGAAGGATGGGATGGGGCCCCAGATTCCTGAATGTGAGGGGCTCAGGGGCTGGATTCCTACATTCCGAGGAAGGAGGGAGTTAGGATCCCAGACGCCCGGGTCTGAAGGGAAAGGGAACTGGGAGCTGGGACTCCTCAGTCTTGGAGAGCAGGGGCTGGGGTGCGGATTCCTGGGCCTCAAAGGAGGAAGGGATCTGAGGCTGAGGTCCTGGGCCCTGGAGGAGGGAGCTCAGGGGCCTGATGCCTGTGTCTGAGAACTCTGGCCTCTCACCTTACAGAGCTCGGGGGGCGGGGTTACCTACTGATTCGGATCGGGAGGAAGGGCACCCCGAACTTCAGCTCTGCCTGCCTGGCACAGACTCTGGAGCCTCTTAACTGGGACCACCAGCCCCCTAACCCAGCTCCTCCCACTCGGGGGCCGGCGGAGCAGCAGGGAACTGGAACCCTGGTCATGAGCGAGGAGAGGCTCAGGGGCTGAGCGGAGAATCTTGAGGGAGGAGGGGCTGGAATCTCTAACTTTTTCTTTTTTAATTGGGGTATAGTTGTTTTACAATATTGTGTTCATTTCTGCTGTACAACGAAGTAGAGTTCCCTGTGCTCTACAGCAGGTTCTCATTGGTTATCTATTTTATACAGATTAGCATATATATGTCAATCCCAATCTTCCAGTTCATCCCACCACCCTCCCCTCTTCCCCCCTTGGCGCCCATGCTTGTAAATTGATAACAGCCACTATGGAATCGCTAACTCTTGAGGTCTGGGAGTGAAACAGAAATGTCCGGGGAGCCCAGACATCCTGGTCCGAGCAAAGAGGGGGTGAGGGCCCCTGACTCCTGGAGCTGAGGGAGGATGGGACTGGGGTCCTGGACTCCTGGCTCTGAGCGGGGAGGGGGCTGGGGCCCGGGACTGCTGGGTCTGAGGGAGGAGGGGGATGGAGGCCCGGATTTGAGGTCTGAGGGAGGAGGGGCTGGCAGCTGTATTCTTAAGTCTTTTTGGAAGGAGTAATTTGGAGCCTGGGTTTTTGTGGGAGGAGGGGGTTGTCAGTAACCTGGAATGGAAGACAAGCCAGTCTTCTTGGTCCTGACTTCTGAGGGCGGATTGGCAGATTCCGGAAAGGCAGGTTTGGGAGGCGCTGTGACCTGGTTTCCCCTTCCCCTGGGGGCGATGGGCCCAGCCCAAGCAGAACCCAGGAGCCTTGCTGCAATAGGGCTGATGGAGACAGACTTAGGCAGGACCTACTCGGGGCTTATGGGGAATTGCAACGCGGTGGTGGTTCCCTCTCTGCCCTCCACCGCCCACCCGTTCCCCATCCTTTAGCTCACAAAACAGGCGGTAGGAAGGCACGTCTCCTCACGTTTAACGTAAAATTCTCTGTCCCTTGGATCGGAGGGGACAGAGAATCTCTCCCAACTTCTCCCGGTCAGGCCGCCGCCGGGATTCAAACCCTGGACACGCCTAGAACGGGCCAGAGCTGGGCAGAGACACACTGCCTGAGTTCCACGTGGGGGAAGCTACCCTCCCGTGAAGTCACGAGGCTGGATCTATGACGAAGGAGGCGTGGCCACAGGGGGTAGCGTCCAGAGGGGAAATCTCATTGGCCAAAGCTCGGAAGGGAGGAGCTATTCAGTGGATGTCTTTACTGCGGTAGAGCCGAAGGTGATGCCGTTCCATGGGGGCTGTGGCAGTTCTGGTGACGTCATAGATACGGGGCCAAGAGGGGCGAAGGTGTCTCTCCTCTCAAGGGGGCGCGGCTCTATAGTTCGCGGGGGCCGGGGTCTGAATATCCGGAAGTTGGGAACTTGAATACCCAGAAGGCGTCTTCAGACCAGCCGAAGCCAAAGGCGGAGACCGTTGAGGCTGGAGTCTTGCAAACCCTCCTACCCTGCGTCCACCCTCCTTTCCTCTAAGATGCGCGGTCTCAGTTGTCCTCCATGGTTTTTCGAATCCAGTCCAGGTAGCGGCACACACTAGTATAGACAGCAGGGCGCTGGGGTCTGGAGCAGGGCTCCGAGCCCCCAGACACCACACCCGCCAGGGCCCCATTGCAAACCAGGGGGCCCCCAGAGTCACCCTGTGCGCAGAAGAAGAGCAGAGAAACTGTTAGGCCAGTCTACTCAGGACATGACACAAGGCGCTTTCTCCCTCTCAGGAAGCTCCCACTTCCCTCCTCCTACAATACCCAGGAGTCCAGGTCTCCAGTCCCTCCTCCCTCAGACCCAGGAGTAAAGGCTCATAGCCCCCACCTCCCCCTAGGACCTAGCATTGTGGACAGCTCTTTCCCCAGGACATAGAGTCCAACCCCCAGTCCCCTCCTCCTTTAGATCCAGGAATCCCGGCCCTGGTCCCACCCCCTCCCACGACCCAGGTTTCCCAGCTCCTTCCTTGCTCTGATCCAGGAAGTCTGGGGCCCCAACTCCCTTCTCCCCCAGGACCCTGGAATCCCCGCAGGGTACCCATCCCTCTCCTTCCCAGAGGAGGTCTCACCTGGCAGGGGCCCCGGCCGCCCTCCCAAAGGCCGGCACAGAGCATGCGGTAGAAGATGTGGCCTGGATATGCCCGTTGGCAGAGTTTGGGCTCCAGGATGCTAATGGTGGCACACTGCAGCGTGAGTGGGTACTGCACTGTTGGGGAAGGAGGTGCATAAAAGATCAACAGCTGTTTCCATCACACTCAGCACCCCCCCCCACTTCCCTAAGAGGGACCCACGGGGCCACAGCGTAAGAGTCCCAAGACAAAAACAAGAGAAAGTGACAAAGCGACAGAACCACAGCATGGAAGAGAAACAGATGGACACGATGGGGAGAGGGCCAAAGAGAGAGAGACGCAGAGAGTCAAGAGACAAGGAGAGAGACGGATATAACTCGCCCAGAGAAAAAGAGGGACCTTGGCAGGAGATAGAGACCTCTTAAGGGGAAAGGGATTCTCAGAGGAGGAAATGAAGAAATAGGGAGAAACAGACCCAGAGATATCCAGGGAGAAAGCAGCGAGAGAAAGGGGAGGAGACATTTACAGGGAGATGGTCACTGACAGAGACAGAGATACAGATGTAGAGAGACTAGATAGAAATAGAGGGAAAGTGGGGGGAGGGGGCCTTGTAGGGAAACAGCAGCCCTTGGGGGGAACTGCAGCAGACCACAGAATCTGTATCTTGTTTGAAAGGGGCAGCCTCCACTGATTCTGCCCAACGATGGTCATTATTTTAGAAATATGAACCCAGCATTGCCAGTCTTGAATTTTTCAAGGGAATCCAGAAACTTGGCTTTGATGTAAAATGTCTCAGGTTTTAAATGTTGGCAGCAGCAAACTGAGGGTTTTTTTTTTTTTCAAGACATTTTGAAAACCAGTACTGCTGTGGGAGGCCAAATTTGACTGATGGATTTGCTGATTTGTGATTGTGAGTTACGTAGACCTTATTTCAATTCTAAGATGCATATATTTTCACATTTAAACATCTCTGAAATCAGGATGTGCCTTCCCGTAAACGATGTCATACAAGGATAGATGGGACCTTTTTTCCTTTTCTCGTTTTTAGCGGGTTGTAGAATAATGATGCATCTTATAATTTATAGCATTTAGATCTGATGAAATATATGGATAGATAGATAGAACATAGAGATGAAAAAGCAGAGACAGAAAAAGAGAGGGGATTCAGAGCCCTGGCATGAAACATAGGGTGTGTGTGGTGGACAAGGCTGTACCCTTAGGACTGGATGTGGCCCCCCAGCCTGAGATTAGGCACTGGGTGCCTGGGGAGACGCAGGTCCGGCTGAGTTTGAGGGGCTGCACGGCAGGTCCCAGTAATGCCTTCCTGGGCAGACGAATCAGCATGATGTCATCATTGTGGTCGTGGGCACTGAGGTCCTTGTTGAACCCAGGATGAGGGAAGAAGTCTGTGGCCCGGAACAGCTGCTCTGTACCCTCCCATTTCCAGAGGTGGTGCTCCCCGAGTCGGACCCACAGAAACCTGTTGGACAGGTCCCAGAGGTCAAGGTGGGATAAGGTGAGGTGTCTTCTCAGCCCCTGTCCTCTTTCTTCTGTCCACCAGGATGCTATGTGACTCTCCACAAGCCACACACCCTCTCTGGGCCCCTGCTTCCTACTCCATCTCTTTGTCTGCCTCTTCCTAGCCCCATGTCAAGTAAACCACCTTCCTCTCTGCCCCACCTGGAGCCTTAGTGGTGACCTGAGTCCCCTGGAACCATGGAGACAGGTGAAGGCTCCACCTACCACCCAAACACAGACCCCCCCCCCCCCCGCCCTCACAGATCTGGTGGTTTCCGTAGGGAGTGGCTCTCTGTGTTTTGGTGTGTGTGTATGGAAGGGGTGGGATATGGAAAATCCCCAAGTTGGGGTCATCTGTAGGCTCAGGCTTTTCCTGTCTGCCAAATCCCTCATCTCTCAATGCTTCCTGAGGTCTGGCCTCAAGCCCTCTCACTGCAGTCCCAGTCCAACTCCACTTGTTCTGCTCTGGGTTCATGCCCTGGATAGCTGGGGACCCTCAAGGGGTCTATATGTCCATCCCCCAGACTCTGACTCTGACATTAGGGATGAGACTAATGACTGAGAACTCAGGGTTTGAGGAGTATGAGGTGTTATTTCTACCTTTTCCCTCTCTGTCACCTTGTTGCCTTGGTTCTGTGTCTGGGAAACCAGTCCCAACCCCACCTCCCAGCCCCAACTTGTCCCTGTTCCTGAATCTCTTGTACCTCCATATTTCTGCTTCTCCCTTTCTTTGTCTTTGGGGCTGAAATCTGAACATTGTTTTCCTAGCCTGATGTCCGGGCCTGAGCTAAAAGAGGCTCCAGCCTAGAGTGATGCATGATGGGAAATTCTCACACAGCATCCTGTATAGCCTCTGTGCTTCGTTCCTAGAGGGAAGAACTTCAAACAGGAGGGATGGCTCCTTTCCCCAGAGAATATAAAAAGGATTTCTGCATCAGGTAGATTCTAGAATTCTGTTAGAATGCCCAGAATCTAAGATTCTAGAATTCTAAGATTCTAACACCTTAGAAATCCACGATTTTAGAATTCTAGGAGGCTCAAGTTCTAGAATCTTATGAATTCGAGATTCTGATGTTTTCGATTTCTCTGGATCAAAAAGTCTAGGATGTGGGGGACTTCCCTGATGGTCCAGTGGCTAAGACTCCACGCTCACAGTGCAGGGGTCCCAGGTTTGATCCCTGGTCAGGGAACTAGATCCCACGTGCATGCCACAGCTAAGAGTTTGCATGCTGCAACTAAAAAAAAAAAAGATCCCTCATGGTGCAACGAAGATCCCGCATACCTCAACTGAGACCTGGCTCAGCCACAATGAAATAAGTAAATGTCTAGGATTTTTAAATTATCTGAATGAAATCTAGGAAACAAAGAACCTAGAATTCTAATATTCTGAGATAATAAGGCAAGAATTTCATCATTCTAGAATTCTAGAAATCTTTGATTTTAGAAATGTAAGGATTAGGATTCGAATAGTTTGAAACTCTTGAATTCTCTTGGTTAAAACTTTGGGGATTTTAGAAATCTTGAATGAGAGCATGCTGGGATACTAAATCCACCAGATTCTAGACGTGTATGAATATAAGCTTCTAGAATTCTCTTGGTTCAAGATTCTAGAATTCTACGGATCACAGTATTCTAGGGTACTGTAATTCAGAGATGCTAAGACTGTGAGCTTCTGTGCTCAGTGAACGTAGCTAGAACAGTTTGAATCTAAGATTCTAGGGTTGCACGATCCAGCACAACTATTGAGCACTTGAAATGTGGCTAGTCCAAATTGAGCTATGCCGTACTTGTAAAATACATGTCTGATTTCGAAGGCTTAGTATAAAAAGAAAAAAGACTAAACTATGTCATTCATAAATATTTAAAAATTGATAATTACATGTTGAAATAATATTTTGAGATGGCAAGTTAAATCTATTATTAAAATTAATTGCACTCATTTCTTTTTTACCTTTTTTAATGTGTCTACTAGAAAACGTAAAACTTTCCTCTGTGATTGGGGCTATATTTCCATTGGACAGCGCTGCTCCAGGCTTCTCAGAGTCTACCAGTCTCTGAATCTAGGATTCTACAATTTAGTGAAGCTAATGTAACATCTCCTGGATCCAAGATTTTAGGATTCTACAACTCTGGATTTTTCTGGGTCAGAGTCTAGGCTTCTAAGAGTCTACGTTGCAAATCTTACACTCTTAGCAACAGATTCTTCTGGACGCCAGAATTTGGAGAGTGGGCATTTTGTCATTCTGAAGAGTTGAACTTTGGGGAACAGAAATGGAGGCTCGGCTCTTCCTGCCCACAGCTCCCTCCCTCCTCTACGAGGCTCCTTGCGCTCTCTCCCTTTCCTGACCTCCAGCCCCCCACCAGAGTGGCCCGCCCAGGTCACTCACGGCTTGCGGCAGTGGGCAGCTGTCAGCAGCCAGCGGTCACTGATGAGGGTCGCCCCGCAGAAGAGTCGGGTGAGGAAGAAGAGCCCGACCTGCCAGGGCTGCGAGTTGGGGCGGCATTCCTTGCCCCCGATGGCTCGGGTGTCTGCCCAGCTTTGCCCTGGGGTGGGGGTGAGAGGCTGAAGGGTTGGTGAAGAGCCAGGTTGGGCGGGCTGGGGACAGATGCTGGGATGCCTAGAGGGCAGGAGTGGGCGCCTGGGCGACAAAGAGCATGGTAGAGGGGCGCTGGGGGGCCATGGAGGCGCAGCATGATGGCAGGACGGCAGGAACCTCACCTTCCAGGAGAGAAAGCAGAGCACAGATGAATCCCAGCCTCATGACCTCCAGGGTGCTTTGGTCCTCGAGCCTGCTCTCCAAGTCCGTGCTTCTTTACGGTAAATCATACTATATTCCTCCTCCCTGGGGCCGCCCCGGTGATTAATCTGGGCTGGGAAATACTCCAGGGGGAGGGGGAAGCCTCCTCCCCGGGGGCCTTGGGAAGGAAGACAGCACAGAGAGAGACCACTTGTCAGGATGAGCTGGTGGCCTGCAGCATCAGGGAATCCCGCTAAGTGGGGGAGGGGCTCAGGGATCCTGCTAAATGGGGGAGGGGCTCTGGGTCGTATAGTCCTTCTGGGGTTCACCAGAGGGAGGAGCCCAAAGTAACCCTGACTTCTGGTCACAGCATCTACATACAGGATATTCTGTGGCCTGGAGGAGGAAGAGGGAAAGGAGGAAGATCCCTCAAGTGGAGTCCTGGGGTGGAAGAAAGTTTATCTTGAATGTAGCTGCAGTGGGCTGGGACCAAGGCACTGGGCAGGCTGGAGGTTTACATAGAAGGACCTCCCAGAAATCAGGCAAGGAGTGGGAGAAAGAGTCAGGACTCAGAGCAAAAAGACAAGCAAGAAGGCAGGATGGGGGGAGGCAGGGAAAGAGGGAGAAAGAAAAACAAAACAAAACAGAGGGATGAAGACATTGAAGGATGCAGGAGGAGGTAAGGAAAGAGAGACAGAAACACTGTCTGGAGTGGCAGAGGCTACAAAGAGAGCTGCACATAGGTACACACCCACAGAACCCTCCCTGCACTGGGGGTTTGGGCCCCTTTCCGCGAGGACAGAGGCCTCTCCTAGCATGGTTCCAGCTGGGTTAACTCATTCTTGTGATAACCTACTTCCTTTTTCACATCCTCACCACTCCAAGGATCCAGGTGCCCAACCTAGGTGGAACTAAGCACTTTTCCCATTCTCTTAATGCCACCATATCTTGGCTAAGTCCTGAGAACATGGTCTTGTTTTTTTCCACCCATCTCCTCCCCTCCACTGTCCTTCCCTGCCTCATCTTTCCTGCCTCTCCCCCCATCCCTCCTTCTCACCAGATGGGCAGCCCTTGGAGGGCCAAGCCCAGATCTGACTCATCTCCGTGTCCCTCACATCACCCTGTTCAGGGCTGGGATCATGGGGGGGCCTCAGGAGATGTTAATTGAATGAGTGAATGTCTTTCTCCACATCTTTCTTTTTCCAGTGAACTCCAACTCATTCTTCAAGATCCAACCTAAATGCCCCTTCCTCCAGGAAGCCTTCTCTGATTTCTCCAGGCAGAGTCCACCTTTTCCAGCCTGGGCACTTCCAGGCTTCTTCCACTTTCTGTTGCTGTAAGCCTGGTTATCAGGCTGGGTCTGGGCTCCCCTTGAATGTGTACAACTCACCATGATTTAGTGGTTTGGAGCATGGACTGTGGAGCTGGACCATGTGGGTCCAAACCTCAATGCTAGTAATTATTAAGTGTGTGACCTTGGGCAAGTCACTGGACCTCTCTCAGTTGCTCCATCTATTAAGTAGCAATAATAACTGGGGTTGTGGGAGGATTATGTGAGTTAACACATATGAAGCGCTTACAACTGTGGTAGGCATTCAATAAATATGTTTGTCCCTCACCTATAGAGCCCTGCACTGCCACCATCATAATACATTTTATCCATGGCTGCAGTTGCCTTATACCCTCTGCAGACTGAGAAGTCCTCGAGGCCAGGGACTGAACACGCACTACGTGCTAAGTGTCATACTAACCGCTTTATAGAACTTTTTTTTTTTTTTTTTTTTTTTTTTTTTGCGGTACGCGGGCCTCTCACTGTTGTGGCCTCTCCCGTTGCGGAGCAACAGGCTCCGGACGCGCAGGCTCAGCGGCCATGGCTCACGGGCCCAGCCGCTCCGCGGCATGTGGGATCCTCCTGGACCGGGGCACGAACCCGCGTCCCCTGCATCGGCAGGCGGACTCTCCACCACTGCGCCACCAGGGAAGCCCTATAGAACATTTTGATTGCTAACTTTATTGACTGTTTACTCTGTGCCAGGCAGTTGGCTAAACATTTCATGTATGCTTTCTCATTTAATTCTCACAAGGGTCTAACCAATCTCTATTTCATAGTGGGGATAACTGTGGTAGAGAGAGCATTCAAGTTTTTTGCTCAAGTCACACAGTGAGTTACAGAAATATATTTGCTTCCTGGTGAACTCCTACTGATCCTTTAAAACCCCATGCATATATCCCCTCACCTGAGAAGCCTTCCCCGATTCCTTCAGGAGGAGTCCTTAGGCCCTCTTGGGGCACCCTATGCCTCCTTCTGTTACAGCACTGATCAATTTGTGTTATTTGTTAATTCAACAATGTGTTAAATGCCTTCTGTGTGTCAAGCATCAGACCAGGTGCTTAGAAAACCACAGTGAATTAATCAGAGTCCCTGCCCACATTGACTGGGTGAGGGGAAGTAGGGGACAGACCATTATGGAGTAAACAGATAAATGAGATCATTTTTGCTATAACAAGTGCTGCAAAAGAAATAAACAGAGCAATGGATTAGTGGCCAGGGAGGAGGAGTACAGGGGGAGACCCCTTTAGCCAGGGCAATCCTGGAAGGCCTCCTTGAAGAAGTGACCTTTAAATGGAGACCCAAATGACAAGAACGCAAGGCTTCCTGACCTGACTAGCAGCTTCCTGAAGGTAGGGCTCACTCTGATTCATCTCTAAGACCTGGCATAGGACATGGCTCAGTAAACATTTATGATGTGACTAAAGGAATGGGTGAATTACCTTTAAAAATGAATCGAGTTTTTGAGTTCCTACCTACTTCGCTTCTGATTCTTGCGTAATGAACTCAGCTGATAAGCCTGACTGATGTTTCCTGGGTGTGCTAATAGGAGTGGGGGGATAGTCAGCGGAAGAGAGCTGTGTAGTCTCTGCTCAAACCCTGTGCCCCGATCTCCTGTGGGCTCTGTGGGGCAGGGACCTTGTGGTCACCACTGTGTTCCCAGCGCCCAGCACCGGGCCTGCCATACAACAGGTGCTCAATAAATTGGTGTGGGCTTCCCTGGTGGCCCAATGGTTAAGAATCCACCTGCCAGTGCAGGGGACATGGGTCTGAGCCTTGGTCTGGGAAGATCCCACATGCCACAGAGCAACTACGCCCGTGCGCCACAACTACTGAGCCTGCACTCTAAAGCCTACGTGCCACAACTACTGAGCCCACGAGCCACAACTACTAAAGCCCACGCGCCTGGAGCCCGTGCTCCGCAACAAGAGAAGCCACTGGAATGGGAAGGCTGCGCAACGAAGAGTACCCCCTGCTCACAGCAACTGAAAAAAGCCCACACACAGCAATGAAGACCCAACGCAGCCATAAATAAATAGATAAATAAATAAATATTTAAAAATAAAATAAATAAAATGAAATTGAAATACTGTATTTTTAAATAAATAAATTGGTGTTTGAAAAGGGAAACAGGGAAGTAGTTAGGGCTCCGTGCTCTCACTGCCAAGGGCCCGGGTTTGTTCCCTGGTCGGGGAACTAAAATCCCACAAGCCTCGCCAAAAAAAAAGGGGGGGGAGGGGTGTGCAAGTGGACAAAACAACCTGTGCTGGATGGAAAATTTCTACTGTGCATGTGTTCTGCTTACGTTACCACTCCAAAGTCTGGGCTAAGTGGAGACACTGAAACTTCTGTTAGCTTTGCCTGGATTTTGTGTATAATAGCCCCCAGCATGGGAATATTTACACAGGGACAGTTTCAGGGACAGGACAAGAAGCCCTCCTCCCAATTTTCAGGACAAAATTTCAAAGCCAATTTGGGATGGGGGTGGGGATGGAGCTGGACTTAGGGTGTCTGGGTGTTGGATCAGGGAATGAGAATGGAGACGTGGTAGAGCTGGAATTGGAGCCGGTAGTAGGTGAGGGGATGGGGACGGATCTAACAAAGAAACCAAAAAATTTCCTCTAAATTTCAGAGGGCTTCTTTGCATAAACTGAGCAACTGAAGTGGGGTGAGGTCCTCTGGTCTTAGAGGCTGAGACGGATGCAGGGTGAGGTCCCTTGAGTTCCAGTGGCCCCAGGAAGGCACAGAAGGTACCAGATGACTCAGAGACAGCCCAGTTCCTCCTGGGACAGGAGGAACAGGTGTTGGGTAGACCCAGACATGGGAAACAGTGGGAGGGAAGAAGGAAGTGGTTAAGAGGTGCTTCATGGAACTTGACAGGAGGGTGAGGAATGTAATTCTCCCATCAGCCCTGAGGGATGGGGATGGGGATGGTATGGGGGGTTGGGATGGTAGGGTACCCCTGTGCTTTTCTCCCCAGGACACAAAATCCACACATTCCCACCAGGACCTGTTGCCATTTAATCAGAACTCACTACCCACCGTGTTAGTACTTTGCATGACAATGACCATAACAATCTACACACGTTATAGTCTCTTCATAACACGTTTATGAGGTACACACTTCATTGTTCCCATTTTCCAGGTGAGGAAACTGAGGCTCAGAGAAGACGCTTGGCTTGCCCAAGGTCACACATCAGGGAGTGGTGGAGGAAGCCAGGTTGGGTGATTGATAACTTCTCTCAGAGACTAGTGACCACCGGCTTCCTCGTTTCTCATGAACAAAACTTTGCCACCACGTTCTGCATCTTGGCTTCAACGCGGGCAGAGAACAGCAGTGGGCAGGAGGCATGAGGGAAGACGAGAGATGTTAATAGGTGTGGATGGGTGACAGAAGTTTGAGTGGGGCAGGGGGAGAGTCCAGCTGTCTGCGGGGGAAGGAGGGGAGGAAGGAGGAAGAGGGCAGATGGCGAAGCAGTTGCAGGGCCTTTGGGTCACTTGGAGCCGATGGTTTTCTCTATCCAGTCGCGGTATTTGCAGATCTCAGTGTAGACAGCTGGACGCTGAGCAGAGCCGCAGGGGTAAACTCCCCATGAAAGGATGCCCTGAAGGGTCTCATCACAGACCAGAGGGCCACCTGAGTCACTCTGGGGGTGGGAGGAAGGAGAGATCAAATAAATACACCAGTGGAAAGGCTGCCACTTGGGGGCTGGGGTAGTGATGGGGAAGGGAGGTGTTGGGTAGGGTTGGAGCTGGGTTGGGGTTGGGGTGGGGTGGGGTTGTGATGGAGTTGGACTTGGGGTTTGGGGGCATTGGGTGGGGGATGAGAATGGAGAGTCGATGGAGCTGGGACTGTAGTTCTTGGTAGGTGAGGGATGGAGCTGGATCTAGAGATAGGGCTGAGGTAGGGGCTTAGGCATGGCTTGAGGATGGGAATGTGGTTGAGGATGGGGTGGGAAGGGGGTTAGGGCTGGGGATTGGCTTGAGAGTAGACTTGGGGACAGGGTTGGGCATGAGAAGGTGGACCCAAGGAGGTAGAGTTGGACATGGGGTTGATGTTGGCGTAGGAATGGGATAGTGCTGGACGTGGGGATGAAATTGGGCTGGGAGTGGCTATGGGGTTGGGGATGTCTGTTTTCCCATAACCTCCCTATGCTGCTCCCATGAGTCAGAGACCCTCTCTGGCCAGTTCCTACCAGGCAGGGGTCCTGACCCTTGCTGAGTCCTGCACATATCATGTTGTTGGTGACCACGCCAGGATAGAAGACGTCACACTCCTCAGGGCTCAGGATAGAGACACGGGAGCAACTCAGGCGCTTGTTGTAATTCACTGATGGGAGAAAACATCAGGTAATCCTGGGGTCCGGCCCCCAATCCTCCAGAATCCAGGAGCCCAGATACCCAGACTGTTCCCAACACAGGCTTTAGGCTCCCAAATGCCCCTCCCTCAGGCCCAGGAGTCCAGGCCCCTCGTCCTCCTTCCCCAAGATACAGGCCCCAGGGCCCCCAGTTCTTGCCTCTTCGGGAGGCCGTGGTGCCCCAGCCGGCGACCTGGCACTGGTCTCCGGGCTGGGCACAGCGATAGGGCAGGCGTAGAGGTTGGATTCGAGGCCCCAGCACAACGGGCATGGCCAGATGCAGCAGCATGAGGTCATGCTCATCTGTTCGCCCGGGCAGGATGGGGCCCGAGCCCTTGTACTTGGGGTGGATAATAGGAAGAGAGGTCCTGCGGATCTGCTCTCCCTGGGGAAGCAGCAGGTGGTCATCCCCAACTCGAGCCCACAGAGGCCTGGGGAGGGAAGAGTCTCATGGATGCAAAGCCTTCACTGGGACTGAGACTGAAGGCTGAGTCCCTGGGAAGGAGGGTACAGGCAGTGGGGTGGGGATAGACACTTGGGTCCTGGCAGGGGAGGGGCCTGGGGGCTGGGACTCCTGGGTCTGAGGGAGGAGTGGGTAGGGGAGAAGGGAGCTGGAGACCTCATCTGGGGGGACATGGGGAAACACGATCAGGTGTTTGGGTCCCTGAGTTCTGCAGGAATTGAGGGCAGAGGGTCTACCTTGGTAAACCTACCCTTTTCTTCCTCCCTCAGTGGGGACTCATGAGATGAACAATTTCTTTTAGTTCTGAAGTCCTAACCACACCAGATCCTGGCTTCTGTCTGCTGCAAACAACTATCTACACCTAAATGGAACCCTAGCAGAATCAGCTGGTCAGTGGCTCTGGATGGGCCCAGAAACTCTGAGAAAGACCACACTGCCCCCTCGTGGCCACAGCACAAGCCCACCTCTCCTCCTACAGGAAGCCCTCCAGGGCCGACCCCACATCGAGCTGTTAGTTCCATACCCTCAAGTACCCCAGCCCTTCCCGCCCCCTCCCCGGGACCTGCCTCCACAGCCCCTCCGTAGCGTCCCTAAGCAGCTCTCCCTACTTATTTTTCCCGCAGTGCGCAGCCGTGAGCACCCAACTCCTGTCCACCAAGACGCCGGCGCAGTGGAACCAGAAGCCATTGAAGAGGGACACCTGCCAGGGCTGCGACCTATAAGGGCAAGGGGCGCTGGAGGCCACGGAGAGAGAGTGCGTGTCGTTTCCGGGGAGCTGCAGAGCCTCCGCGACTGGAGAAAGAAAGGAGGTGGAGATCAGAGCAGGCAGGACAGCAGGGCAAGCACTGGGTGCGGGATCCGAGTGGGGCCATGGGACGGGGCTTCGGGGGGGGCACAGCCTGAACCCGAGAGTGTACGTGGAAATTGGGGATCCTGAAGGAACTGAATGGAAGTGGGCGGAGAAGAACGGCGTGAAAGGGCAAGGAGGCGGGGTTAAGAATGGAGTAAGGCGACCTAACAGGTTGGGTCTGGAGGAGCAGGGACGCTGCAGCGAGCTTGAAGAGGTCGGGAATGCAACAAGGCGGGGCAGAAGGGGCGGGGCTAAGGTGGGCGGGGCGGAAAGGGGCGGGGATAGAAAGCAGGTCCTGGTGGGTGAAAGTAGTGGTGGGAATAACGCAACTCGCCGGAAGAAGGGGTGAGGGCAGAGGGCTCTTAAGGCAAGACTTGGGGTAAAATCGGGCGAAGTAAGAAGGGGCGGGGAAAGGACGCGGCGAGGAGAAAGGGGGAGTACGGATCTCGGAAGAGTGAAGGGGGCGGGATACCTAGGGCGGAGCTAGAAGAGGGGCGGGTCTGACTTGGGGCGGGACTTCTCCGGATCTGTGGGTGAGTGCTGGGGTCCCAAGGGGAGGAGAAGTGTGCGGGGCTTGGTGATAAGAGCCCACTCTGCCATCGCCCCCGGTGTCCGGCGCCTCCCGCCGAGCCCTGTCCCCGGCCTCACCCCAGAGTTGCGCCATCAGTAGCGGCAGCAGAAGGTTCTCGAGGCCCCAAGGGCCGGAGGCGGCGGAGAGGTGGAGGTGTGAGGGTCTCATGGCCAGGACCTAGGCTGGGGGGGTGCGGGTGGGCGGGGGACGGTTCAAAACACTTGCCGGGTCAGAGACCCCCGCCTGCCACGCCCGTCCGCCCGTCCTGGGCCACCCCAGCCCGCGGGGACCCGTTTAACTTGCGGCCGACAAACGCAGGGCTGGGCAGACGGGCGATCGGGGCCTGAACAGGCGTAATGGGCGCAAATACCCTAATGACGCCGCTCTGGCGTCCTGCTCTCCCTACGCCCGAGGGGAGCGCTCTCCTGGCCGGGGCTGTCCCGGCTGCCAGCCTCTCAGCGCTTCGGGGTTCGCCTACCTTCACAGGTGGGCTGGGGATTCGAGGCTCCGAAGTGCGTCCCGTAGATAAGGAAACTAAGGCTGGAACAAGTCTCCTGTCCGCTACCCGAGGGTCCCCACCTGTGCTCTCGCGACCCACCCCAGCCAAGGTGAGGTGCATGCCGCTCACCTGGGAGTCGTGGAGGGGAAGTGCCTCAGTCCTGCCGTGTGGGCCGCCGGTAATCCTCTGCCCAGGGACCCCTTTCAGGCCCTCCCTTTTAACCCCGAAGAGCCCTTTTCCCCACCCTCCCCCCAGGGATTTACCTCCTCCCTTTCCCTCTCCCTAATTACACCCTGGGTGAGGCTGGCACCCAACCTGGGCCCCAGATTCCTGCTCTGGGAGGGGCCCGGGAATACAGGCTTCTCCCAGTGCCCGAAACACCCTTTTTAGAGGTGGATTTCATGGAGGTTCCCCAGGTCCCTGTTCCAAGAAGTCTTCGCAGATGGGGAAAGAGGGTGCCACATCCCCAGGGGCCGTGGGGGTCGCGGGGATAGTGTCGGAGACCGATGATTGTAAGCGACAGAGAGGAAAATAAATAAACAGTGACGTGCATACCTAGAGTGGCATAATGAGAAAAGGCAGAATGCTGACCCTGAAAGAGGGAGGCAGAGAGATAAGATAGATCGAAGGAAAGAGTAGGAACAAGAGATGCACACAAACGAGGGAAAGAAAACACAGAGAGGGAAGAGGAAGATGCAGACCCAGAGGGACGCTCTGTGCTTGAGCCCTCATCCACGGCCAGAGCAGCGTCGTGTGTCCCAGCAACTAGCCCATGTGTGGTCACTTCACATACTTCCTGCCCTCTTCATGTCTCCAGGTGACACACAGGCCCGTGAATCACAGGAGACCAAAAGCTACAAGGGGCATCAGTGTCACTTCAGCCAGCTCCCTCATTTCAGGTGAGGAATGGGAGGCTCAGAGAGGGCAGTGACTCACAGGAGGTCACACAGCAACTCCATTTAACAACCCAGACGCCCAGTTCCAGCTCTGGGCTCTTAACTGCTCATGCCCACTACCTCCCCTGCAAGGTGAGCAGAACATCAGAAGAGACCCCGAGTTCTGGACTATTTGTGAAGCATCTTCTCCAGTGAGAAGTCAGTTAACTCTAGAGGTTGTCCAGCACAGCGCCGTTCAGTTGAACTTTCCGCCGTGATGGAAGTGCTCCGTTTGTGCTATCCAACGCGGTAGCCACCAGCCACCTGTGGCTAGAGAGCTTTTGATATGTGGCGAGTGCAACTGAGGAATTACATTTATTTTTTTAATTAAAAATTAAAAAAAATTTTTTTAACATCGTTATTGGAGTTTAGTTACTTTACAATGGTGTGTTAGTTTCTACTGTATAACAAAGTGAATCGGCTATACGTATACATATATCCCCATAGCCATTCCCTCTTGCGTCTCCCTCCCACCCTCCCTATCCCACCCCTCTAGATGAAGAATTACATTTCTGACTTTGGGCAGTTTTAATTTAAATAGCCATGTATGGTTAGTGGCTACTGTACTGACCTGCTCAGGTCTCGATGAACTACCTATTACCTATTGCAGAGGTTGGAAAGAAAACAATGATAGCTCCCTTTTATTGGGTCTTAGCTATGTGCAGGCTGACTGACTTTGTGTACTATCATACTTTTGCATGCACGATTTTACAGATAAGGAAAGGAGTTTTTTTTTTTTTTAAATTATTTATTTTTGGCTGCGTTGGGTCCTCATTACACCAGGGCTCGAACCCAGGCTTGAATCCATACCCCCTGCGTTGGCAGACAGATTCTTAACCACTGCGCCACCAGGGAAGTCCCAGGGAATGGAGCCTTAATCAAGGTAGTATTGCTTGTCAGTTAAGAAATCACCTTGCTTCAGATTCCTTGCTCTTCTACTTGCTGGCTCTGTGATCGTGAACGGGTGACTTCGTTTCTCTGTGCCTCAGTTTCCTCAGCTGCAAAATGGGTATAATAATAATAGTATCAGCCTTGTAGGGTTTTGTGAAGATTACGTCAGTCGATACATTTCAAAGCCCTTGGACCAGGGTCTGGCACGTAGTAAGCATTCAAAAGATTCATTTGTTTAGTAAATATTTACTGAAACCTTGGTGTGTGCCAGGAATTGTGTTTGAGACTGCAGGTACAACAGTGAACCAAACAACTATTTTCACTCCCAGAGTCACAAGTTAGTATGAGGCAGGAGGAGAACCCAGGTCTCCTAACCCCAAACTCCAAATTGATTATTAAGGTACAGCATCTCTCATAGTCAAGAAGGCCCCCAGAAAAGTATATAAAGGGGTCCTGGCTCAGGCTTCATTATTAACAGAATGAACAGGTACCGCAGCACCGAGCAGGGATCAGGGGATTGGGCCGTGATGAGCTGGTCCTGGCTAATTGTTCTCTATAGTCTTCTGGATCCGGACCACATGTTGCAGACCTTTGTGTAAACCCTGGGCTTTCTGCTGACAGCACATGGATCCTGGCCCCAGGAGATGATGCCTTGAAGAGACCCATTATAGACCAGTGGGCCCCCAGAATCACCCTGGAGATGGGGAGGAAGAGAACCAGTCAGAGAGGAGGGGAGGCCTCAGGAGAGGGGACAGGGGTGGACATGGTGTTAGGGAGGAGGGGGGGAATTGTGTTGACAGTGAGGTGGAGGTTGAAATGGGGTTGGCAATGGGATTGAGGGTGAGGTTAGAGTTATGGGTGAGAACAAAGATGGGGTTAGGGTCGAAAATTGATTTGGGGATGGTTAGGGTCGGAAATAGGGGTGGGACTGGGAATGGAGCTGGGAATTGTGTTTATGTTAGAAATGGGACCTGGGAGTGGAGGTGGATTTGGGGGTTGCAGGGGGAAGTGGCGTTGAGGTTGGGGATGAGATTGTGGATGTAGATGAAGACATGGTTGAGGTTGGAGATGGGAATGGAAATGTGACTGGAGACCCAAGCCCTGCCCTCTGAGCTGGCAGGAGTCCTTGCCCTCTTCTCGAACGCTGGTACATCCCATGGTGTCTGTGATGTCCCCAGGGTAGGCGTCCTCGCACTCCTTGTGCTCGATGATGGTCATGTTGGTACATCGCTAGGTATGGGGGAGGTGCACTGTAGAAATGACATGAGGGGGTACAGAAAATTAGATCCCTTTGTTCCCCTTCCCCACACTGCAGGGCTTGCTCTGAACCCAGCAGAGAACCAGGGACCTTGCTCTGAATCCAGTTCCTGTCCTTCTTGTTTGCAGTCAACTACCTCTCTGCTTGTAACCATAGCAACAGTAACGCTATCAAGTTAAACTCTTTACGTCAATTGCTCTATAAACATTATGTCTAATCCTGCTCTAGTAGGTGGATGTGATTATTCTCATTTTATAGAGAAGAAAACCAAGGTTCAGAGACTTGCCTAAGGACCTACAACTAGCAGGTTGTGGATCTGAAATTGCACATCATGTCTGCCTGAATCCAAGGCCCAAACTTTTGTCTCTGCCCTTCCCAGCCCTTACTTTTCCACTCTTCCTTTCAACTTATCCCACTATTGACACCTCCAGGTAGCACCCTCTTGTATCACTATGAATCTCATCTTTGAAGGTTCCTCTGGTTCCCTATTTCCTTCCACAATCGTAAACACCTTCCCCCACCCCACACCCCATCATGCTCCTCTCTGGAGCCCCTACACTGGGGGCTGGACGTGGTGCCCCAGTCGGAAATGAGGCAGCGGGTGCCAGCAGTAACACAGTGTGATGACACCCTGTGGGTCGCACGGCCCAGATGACGAAGGCTGGGGCCACCATGTTCAGCAGCGTGATGTCATCGCAGTGGGCTTTGTTGGGCAGGCTACTGTTGAAGTCTGGGTGGGGGAAGGACTCAGTGGTTGCCCGGGTGCGCTCACAGCCGTCCCGTCACTGGAGGTTGTGTTCTCCCAGATGAGCTACATATCAGTTGAAGTGAGAGAGATGGTGGTCAGAGATGGAAGGGGAAGGAGAGACAGGAAGTGGAGAGTGACATTGTGTGTGGGGGGGAAGGGGCGAGATGAAGAGAATGAAGAAACATAGCTCCACTTCCAAACTCATCCCCATCTCCCACCAAAACCTTATCCCCAGCCCAGCATCCAACCCCATTCCCAACACCATGCCAGTTCCAACATCATTCATCCTTCCATCTTCAATCCCAACCCAATCCCCATCATCAGTGCCCGTCTCTGACCCCACTTTCCCCGCCCCATACACATTCTCCCCATCCCCAAGCCCTTCTCTATCCACCTCTCCATCTCCAGCCCCCTCCCAGCCCCGCCCCTGCCCCCCGCACTCATGGCCTGTGGCAGTGGGCTGCCGTCAGTAGCCATTTGAGGGCGATGAGGGTTGCCCCACAGAGCAGCTGTGTCTTCTGGAACAAAGCCGCCTGCCAGGGCGGCTGGGAATGAGGAGAGCACTCATATCCTTTATTGATCCTGGTCTCTCCCCCTACATGTCCTAGAGAGGGTGAGGGCAAAAGAGGGGGCTCGGCCATGAGACGACTCCCAGAAATGGGGCGGCGGGGGGGAGGACCATAGCCTGGTGTCCTATGGGGACGCACTGAATGGACAGGCTGGGTATTAAATGATTGAAATCCTTCCACACCCGTCGGTCAGTAGCCACTTTCCTGAGCTCTTTGAATGTCTCCCACACCACCCCAGCTGCCCCGGTCCCTCCTCTGGGACCCTCTTGGACCTCTCCCCATTCTAGCTCTAAAGAGATTACACCTTTGGAAGGCAAGGGGCATCCAGGACCTTGTTATGGCTCATATATCCATTAAGATGCCCTATGGTTGTTCTATATTTTTAATATCAGCCCCGTCATTGTCTAGACATAGAGGGTTGGGAATCCTAGAGATTGGAGAGGGAGACCCCTGCCCATCCCCATCTCCACCGTACCTGTCACCAGAGCAAACATGATTAATTGCAGAATCATCATGGCCTGGAGCGGGGCGGGGCAGGCCCCAGGTTCTTCTGGGAACAAGGAGGGACAAGGGACCAAATCACTCCATGGGGAGATTTAGGGCTGGTTCACGCCCTCTCTCTCCCCCATGCCTGCTCCGGCTCCCCCCAGGGAGAAACAACCAGGTGTGAGGAATCCCTTGGCTCGCACAGCATCCCAACCTCCAAACTTTTAAAATAAATCTTTGGTATGGAGAGTGGCCTTGCAGGGGCCTAATCCCAGTTAGAGCCTCTCATACCCAAGTTGCTGGGAAGGCATTGCCCAGGGCAAGCGACAGGCTGGCTCCGTTTAAATCAGCCACCGGACCTCGTAGGTGGTTTGGAAAATGTTTTCCTTCTTACCCACCTGAGACCTGGGGCCCAGCAGCTTGGGGTGGGAGGATAAAGGGAACCAGGCTCCGTTCAGTAACCACGCCAGGGTGATATGAGCCCTTTGAAGGCTACCTGGGGTACAGTAGGTGGCTCGGCCTGGGACATCATTCTGGCCCCCACCCTGCTGAACCCCTGCCCCTTTGAAGAACAGTGAGGCAGAGAAGGGCTGATCACTGGAAGGGCCAGTGCCCTTAGCTGCCCTGGCCAGCGGGAGTGGGGCTGGAGGGTTGGACTCAGTGACCGAAGGTGGGGTTGCAGGACACTGAGGTTGGGGGGCAGCTGCTGGAGATGCAGATCAAGGCAGAGAGACACAATCCCCCCCACCCCAAGAAGTACAGAGCAGAAGGAGAAATGATGCTGGGGCAGAGGCCTGGCACACTCGGCAGGGCAGGTGCCTGGAGGGGAGCCCTCCCTTCCCTTCTGGACTCACGGGCTCTGGGGCTGGAGCTCTGGGGGCCTGGCAGTGGTGGCAGACGCGGCAGGCTGGGTCTCGGAGCGGGAGGCACCAGGAAGGCGAGCAGGCAGGGGTGCCCCCTCACCACTCACCCCCTCCCCCACAGGCCCAGGATGACTGGGCTTCCCAACCCTGCCTTACTGCCCTGGGGGCGGGGTGTGTGGGAGCCCTCCCCAGTCCAGCCCTGGGCCTTGGAGGTGCTGCCCACCTGTCACTGTCACCTCCCCAAGCCCCTCTTCTCTCTGCTTCTCTGTTTCCCCACACCTCTGTGTCCGTCCGTCGGTCTGCATCCTTCCCTGTCTCTCTTTACCTCTCCCACATTTCTGTAATTCTTTGTGTGTATGTATGTGTGTGTCATTTTTCTTTCTGTACCTATGTGTCTCTGGGCCTTTTTCTCTTTGTCTAACTCTGTTCTTCTCTCCCCGTGTCTCTCTGCACATCTCCTCTAATGCTTTATATCTTTCTTTGTGTCTCTGTCTCTGCCTGCCTCCATCCCTGTCTCTTTCTCTCCCTCCCTCCATTTCTGTGTCTAAATCCCTCTCCATCCTCATCTCCCAGCCCCTCCCTCCCCACAGCCCGAGCCCAGGTGGGACCCTGGCCCCTTCTGGCCCCTCCCTTCATCATTCCAAGGAGCGGGGTGGGGGGACTGGGACGTCACACAGGTGGGGCTGCTGCCAGCCGAAGGGGCAGGCAGGAGGGTGGGGAAGGCAAGTTGGGGCCTGTGAGATTCAAGGCCCAGGAAAGGGAAGTCAGCCCTGGGCAGGTACCACAACCCCCAGAACTCCTCTGGGGCTTTACTTCTCTGCCGACCCTTCCCTCCACTCCCATCTGCCAGCCTCTTAGGCTGCCAGGAACCCAGGGTCCTCAGAATCCCACTGTGGCATTTACTTGCTCTGTGACGTAGGTCCGATGACTTCTCAAATCTGAGCCAACTCAATTTCCTCGTCTTCAGAACTCAAGTGACGATCCCTACTTCTCCCAGCTTGTTTATCAGTTAGTTCTCCGTCTCACCCTCCTCTCTCCCCTAACGACATGTGAAGCAAGACTACGGGGTAGGGGCTTCCCTGGTGGCACAGTGGTTGAGAGTCCGCCTGCCGATGCAGGGGACACGGGTTCGTGCCCCGGTCCGGGAGGATCCCACATGCCGCGGAGCGGCTGGGCCCGTGAGCCATGGCCGCTGAGCCTGCGCGTCCGGAGCCTGTGCTCCACAACGGGAGAGGCCACAACAGTGAGAGGCCCACGTACCACTTAAAAAAAAAAAAAAGACTACGGGGTAGGCCTGGGTTCTCACAGCAGCCAGCCCTGGCCCCAGATCCCGGCACTGCCTCTTCCTACCACAGTGATGTGGGACGAGAGACTCCACCCCGGCGAGGCTCAGTTTCTTCATCTGTGAGATGGGGGTGACAGCCCTGCCTCAGGGGGTTGGGATGATGACTCCAGGAGAGCCAAGTACAATAGGCAATCAGCAAATGCTCCCACAGCTGCCACAGTCACCCCTCACCCTCTCCCACCTCAAATTTCCCTTCCATTCATTGCGGAGAAGAAATTCTCTTTCCAACTCCTGGAGAGGCTGTGAAGACAGAAGCTGAGAGGTGGGCAGAACTATTTTTAGACCTAGGCTGGGTCCTCTTGCTTTCCAAGGCTGCTCCCCACCCTCCATCACCGCAGATGTATTAAAGCAAACCCGCACCCCGCATTAAGTAGAATACGTGCTCAACTCCAGCTGAGCCAAGTTGCAGTTGGCTAGTTGGAAGAAGGTTACGTTTTATAGACACAATTAAATGGTGGTGGATTTTGATTTTGCAGTTTTCGTTTGGTATTTTGCAGCCAACAATCCTGTCCACACACACCCCTCCCCCATTTCGGCTTATAAGCTCTAGGCAGTGTTCCTGTTGCGGCAGATGGAGAAAAATGGCCTTAATTATTTTTACTGTTATAAGTAACTTTCTCTAGTCCATTCCTGTGTGGTCCCTGAGGGAAAACCCTCACCCTCTCTGATCTCTATTTCTACACCTGTGGGTAGGGCAACTGATGGAGGGCAACTCTCCCTCCAATCTCAACCAGCAGGGGGACCAAACAGACAGACACAGCCCCTCCTCCCCCGACCATGGGTCTTTGAAGGGCTGGCTAGAGTTGGAGTTCCAGGAAGAAGATCCCCAGTCCAAGAAGAGTGGGAGCTGGGGGTGATGATGGAGGAGGTATTGGCGCTCTGAGGGTCAGAGTGGCCCCCAAGCTGAGGCATGAAGGTGGAGGGAGCAGGTCAGTTGTTCCTCATGACCCTCCAGATCCAGTCCACGTATTTGCAAATATTGGTGTAGACCCCTGGGATTCCTTCTTGCCCACAAGGCTCCACGGATCCCCAGGACACCAGACCCTGAAGGACTCCTCCGCATACTAGGGGACCCCCAGAGTCACTCTGGAAGGCAGAGGAGAAGGAGCATGATCTGAATATGGAAGAAATCCTTTTCCAGTTTTCCTCTCCACAGCCTCCTGCCCCCTCGCCCATTCCTGGGCCTTGAGGACCGTGGCTCCAAGCCTCGTCAGCAGAGAAAAAAGAACACACAAGTTCCCAGAGGACAACAGCAATGACTAATAGAGAACACACTGTCCCTAGGGGCCAACGCCAAGGAAGGAGGGCGGGGCTCTATGCTGGGTAGAGCGTTCCCTCAAGGACAATGGGTAGGCTCTGACCAATGGGGGAAGAGAGCACAGGCACCAGTGACCAATCCCAGCGAAGGAGGACGGGACTCCTTAAGAGTTCTCTCCAAGACAGTGGCTGGGGCCCTGGCCAGTAGGGAGGGGCAGCCTCCTCTGTGAAGGACCGAGAGGATAAGGTAGCAGAATTACAGGGTGAGAGAGTCCTCCAGTCCCCTTTCCTCCTCCATCCTGGAATCTCTCGCTCTTAATTGGGCCAGCACCAACTGGATGGTATGGGGAAGACTCGGAACTGGAGAGACAGCCGGCTACCTGCCTGAGCTCCAAATGCCGGCTGCCTCTTTCCCTCCCCCATCGTCTGTCTTTGTCTCTTCCTCTCCCTCCCTTTGTGCCCCACCCATCTTTCCTTCTCCGTTTCTGCCCTCCCTCTCTCTGTCCTCCACTCCCTGGCTCTCCCTCCCGCATCCTGTGCCTCCCCTTCTTTCTGACCTTATCTATCTCCCCATCTCCTTTCCCTGACTTACCTTCTCCCCCTTCCCCACCTCCCCAATTCTCCCTCCCCTACTTTCTGTCCCGGATGTTGCCTGCAGTCGCTCACCTGGCAGGCATCCTCCCCAGCGATGCCGCCAGCACACACCATGTTGTCCGTGATTCTCCCGGGGAACGCTGCCCGGCAGGTGGCGTTAGAGACGATAGAGAGGTTAAGGCATTGGAGTCGGTCTGACAACTGGTCTGGGGATGGAAGGTGGATGCTGCAGGATCCCCCAAAGCTTCCCTCATCTCCCCAAAGAGGCCACATCCCTCTTCTCAAGGAAACCCAATACAAGTCTATACCCCACCCCCTCCCTATGACCTCCACTACAATCCTCCAAGCTCTAAATTTCAGATTATGACTTGATTACACAGTAGCTCTTGATTTCAATTCATTGGCCCCGTCTCCCTGACCTTCAGCTTACGACTCAGATACAGTGAATCCAGACCTGGCTTTCTCCTTCAATCCCAGCTACTGTGACCTTTGACCTTCAATCTTATTGCCCTTTGATCCCAACTTGGCCTCATGTCTTCTCTCTGTCTCTTGGCCCCATGTTCCTTGTCTTCACCTTCACCTCCAACCTCAGCTCGGAATCCTCCAAAGTGACCTCTGATCCTAGTTTGTTTGACTCCAGACTCCATGACCCCTAACCTCTACCTCCACACACCAAGCCCTGTGGCTTCCAGTCCCAGACCAGTGATCCTTGATCGAATCCCAATTTCCGTCCTCGGATTGTGGCCAACATCTGGATCCCATGACCTCAACTCTACAATGACTAACATCAGAGTACCTGACCCATGACCCCAAGAGCCTATTTACATATGTCTTTTGCTCCGTCCAGTCTGATAACATCACTCTGACCTCTAACCACATCCCTGACCCATGACTCCTAACTCCATATGCAACCACTTAACCTCTTTAACTCCCAAGACCCCTACGCACCATGATCTCAGACCCTAAAGCATGAATCCTGATGTGTGACACTTTACCCATCCTTCCTCTGAGATGGCATGACTCCTGACCTCTCACCCTATGCCGCAAACTTTTGCCAATCGTGACCCCTGACCCCAGCACCCCCTTACTCCTTGTGTGGTTGGTGGTGCCCCAGCCCGAGATGTGGCACCTGGTGCCAGCCACTGCACAGGTCGTGGGCAGGGGCAACGGCTGGATGCTGCGGGTCAAGAGAACAGGGATGCCCAGTTGCAGAAGCCGGAGGTCATTGTCTTGGTTCTGCAGGGCTGCCTGGTAGCCAGGGTGGGTCACGGAGAGGCCACTGTGCCGGATCTGCTTGGTCCAGTCCATCTGGCTGAGGCTGTGTTCCCCCAGGCTCAGCCAGTACCTGCTGGGGGTCACAGAGGCTCAGCAGGGGCAGGGTGGGCTGGCCTGGGGCTCCCAGACCCGCCTGCCTCTCTCTGCTGCTCCGCACCTTGATGGTTGTTCATTCCCTTGCTCTCATTCTCTTAGTCTCTTCCCACCTCTTGGTCTCTATTTCCATCGCCATCTTTCCGTTTCTAGTGTTGGTCCTATTGCTCCTCTCCATGCTACCGCATGTGTGTCACTTTCTGATTCTCTTAGCTGGTGATGGCCGTGGGGGCAGGGACATCCATTAGTCCTATTCACTGCCCTGTTCCCACCACCCAGCGGGTGGCCTGGGCCATCAACACTGTCAACTAAACGAATGGGGGAATAATGAGTGGACTCTGTCCTGCTGGTGTCCCTCCCTGTCCCCAAATATCTCTGTCTCTCCATGTCTGAAACTTCCCTTTTGGAAAAAGAAAATAAATCCAGAGCATCAGACCTACAAATCCCAATCCCCTCATTTTACAGATGGGAAAACTGAGGCCCAGAGAGGCGCCAGATGTAACCTCTGACCTCATTTTACAGATGGGACCACTGAGGCCCAGAGAGGTGCCAGATGTAACCTCTGACCTCAGTTTACAGATGGGACCACTGAGGCCCAGAGAGGCGCCAGATGTAACCTTTGGCCTCATTTTACAGATGGGATGACTGAGGCCCAGAGAGGCGCCAGATGTAACCTCTGACCTCATTTTACAGATGGGACCACTGAGGCCCAGAGAGGCACCAGATGTAACTCTGAAGCTGCAGAAAGAGTTTGGGTCAGACGTGGGTCCCCAGCTCAGACTGGGTCAGGAGATGCTGAACTGATGACACCATATGGGAAGGAATGGGGACATGAGGGAACATTGGGGGGGGGCAGATTCCAGGGCCCTCCCCTGACCTCCACCCCACCGATCCCCACCCAGGTCCACCCCAGGCCCATTGTGAAGAAGTCCTACTTCTTGTCTGACCTCAGACCCTCTTGTTGCAGGACCATCTCCTTACTCCTGTGAGCCCCCTGCCCCCAGCGCTACCCTCCCCATCACCCTCCCTTCCCACCCTGAGTAGGCAGGGACCCAAGTGGGGGGCTTACCTGTTGCTGCAGCGAGCAGCTGTGAGAACCCACCTGCGGTCGATGAGGACTCCCCCACAGCGCAGCTGTGTACCTTCAAACAGCCCCTCCTGCCAAAGCTGAGAGTGAGGGATACACTCCGTGCCTTTAAAAACCTTCTGTGAGCCCTCGTGGCTGAGCCCTGAGGACAGTGGCATGGGCCAGAGAGACAGAGTCAGGAACCTAGAGACTGTGGACCAGATAGAAAGAGAGATACAGAAAGAACAAAAAAGAGGCAAGAGAAAGAAACCAAGAGAGGGAGAGAGAGAGAGAGAGAGAGAGAGAGAGAGAGAGTCACAGGCAGGGAGACACAGACCCAGTGATACATAAAGACACAATGAAACACCCAAAGGACACAAAGAGGAAGAGAGAGAGATGCTTAAAGATAAGCGAAACAGAGATTCAGAGAGAGAAAGGACAGAGACATAGTGACAGGGAGAGACAGAGGGGAGATGGATCGGAAGATACAGGGAGAGCGAGGTGCATAGGACCCCTGGAGATGGAGGTGAATGGAGGCATAGAGTCAGCCAGCCTCCCTCCCCTCCTCAGTGCCAGGCATCCTCGTGAGGGTTCCTTGCCTTCTGGGGAACTCACCAATCAAACACAGGAGAAAAAAGGTGCTGGACACCATGGTGGTCCACTTCCAGGTTCTGGGGAAAAGGTGAGGCATCTCAGAGATGGCAACTGGACCCTCCTTTTCCCTGTCAAGTGGACCCTCCCTTTCTCCTCCCCTTCCACCAGCAATTCCACGAGGAGGGGATGGTCCACAGGCCCATTCCTCTCTGTCCCCATCCCCCGAGCGTTACCCCCTCACTGGTGTTGGCCTGCCCCCTGCTCACCTTGCTTCTCCGCCTGCCGGTTCCTCCATGTGACCATTGCAATCTCAGCCTGTCGGTCTCTCTGCTATCTGTCTGGCCCCCTGCCTGCTTGTCTCTTCATCTGCCAGCCACCCTATCAGGCAACTCTCCTGCTGTTCACCTGGTCTCTCAGCCACCTGTCATGCTGCACCACCTGTCTTCTTCCTTCCGTCTGTCTGTCCCAGACCAGCAGCTGATACAACTTTTAACTCTGTCCCAGCTCATGCGATTTACGGGTTGAGAGAAGGAGACAAGGTAGACATGGGGCGGGACACCCTCTAATCAGGTAGAAACTCTTCTTGGCTAATGACAATTAGTGAGATTTACAGTTAAATGGAGGGGGGCGGGGGCCCTAGTATGGCTCTGGAGGGAAGACCCAGGCCCTCTCCTTCTCCCCTCCTCTGCAAACTAGCCAGCAGCCCTGAGGCCAATGACGCAAGGTGATCTGGGATCTTCCCCAACTCCTGTAATGAAGCCTCAGGGAGAGTGGGGCAGGTAGATACCTGGACTCCTCCCTGAGTGTTTCATGGAAGGGGCAACAGGGTGGAAGTGAGAGAGTCAAGGAAACCAAGGGCAGAGAGAGCCTGAGACAGAAGAGGAGGAAAGGGAAGAGCTTTCAAAATAGGGGAGACAGGGCTTCCCTGGTGGCGCAGTGGTTGAGAGTCCGCCTGCCGATGCAGGGGGCGTGGGTTCGTGCCCCGGTCCGGGAAGATCCCACATGGCCGCTGGGCCTGCGCGTCCGGAGCCTGTGCTCCGCAACGGGAGAGGCCACAACAGTGAGAGGCCCGCGTACCGCAAAAAAAAAAGCCAAAAACAAAATAGGGGAGACAGAGGAGCTTCCAAACTGGGTCCAAGGAAGCTTGGCTCTAATTGAAGTTTTTAAATTCAGAGCACAGGTCTTAGGAGGTCGATTTATCTAACTCCATGAAAGTTGTTTGCATAGGGCCGTCCACTGAGAAAGAGAGACAGGGGACAGGAAACAGAGAGAGGGAGAGTGAAAGAGACTCAGGACAGCATCCCTCTCTTTCTCCTCTTATCTTTTTATTTTTTTTGGAAGTAAAATTGATATAACATAAAATCCAGCCTTCGAACCATTTTAAAGTCTACAACGCCGAGAATTCCACTGCACTCACAGTGTTATGCTACCATCACCACCGACTAATTCCAGAACATGTTCGTCACCCCCAAAGGAGACCCCATACCCGTTAAACTGATGTGCATCAGATGATGAATGGACAAATAAAAGGCGGTCTGTCCATGCTATGGAGTATTATTCAGCTACAAAAGGAACAAAGTACTGATGTGTGCTACACGTGGACGGACCTTGAGAACACTGTGCGGAGTGAAAGAAGCCCGTCATAAAGGCCCACACACCGTATGATCCCATTTATATGAAATATCCGGAAAAGGCCAATCGGTGGAGACAGAAAGCAGGCTAGTGATTGCCCGGGGCGGCAGGGAGTGGGGGTGGGGAATGACTGCTTAGCGGTTCTCTTTTGACACGCAGACTTGCGGCTTGTGGCTTCTGGATAAAGTCAATCCCTTTTTGTAGCTGGAGACTCAGAGGACAGACGTCCTGCTTTCCGAAAAAGCTCTGAGCACCTTTGGCACCTCATCCAGGGAGCCCCTGGAGCGCTCAAGTCCCTGTATCTCATGCTTTCCTCTTGGGCGTCATCATAAGCTCACCATGAAGCCCATTCCCTAAAGACAACTCAGGCATCCCAACACGTGGGGTGATGTCTCAGGGCATGGATACCATCACAGGTGTGGAAACTGAGACACAGCTAGGTGGAGCTGCTTGCCCAAAGTCACACAGCTGGTAAGAGGCAGAACTGGAGTTTGAACGGAGGCAGACTGGCTCCAGAACTTGTATTGTTAATCATTATCCAAATATGTGAATGAGCAAAAGAATGACTAACTGAGGGCTTCCCTGGTGGCGCAGTGGTTGAGAGTCCGCCTGCCAGTGCAGGGGACACGGGTTCGAGCCCTGGTCCGGGAAGATCCCACATGCCGCGGAGCAACTAAGCCCGTGCACCACAACTACTGAGTCTGTGCTCTAGAGCCCGCGAGCCACAACTACTGAGCCCACGTGCCACAACTACTGAAGCCCACGCGCCTAGAGCCCGTGCTCCACAACAAGAGAAGCCACTGCAATGAGAAGCCTGTGCACCGTAACCAAGAGTAGCCCCCACTCACCGCAACTAGAGAAAGCCCGCGCGCAGCGAAGAAGACCCAACGCAGACAAAAATAAATAAATAAAATAAATTTTTAAAAAAGTGGGGCTGGGAGGAAGCTAAATGTCTACCTACCACTTCCTCTTGGGGTCCTTGAACAAGGCAACAAAAGATGGATGGGGGACTTCCCTGGTGGCGCAGTGGTTGAGAGTCCTCCTGCTGACTCAGGGGACACGGGTTTGTGCCCCGGTCTGGGAAGATCCCACATGCCGCGGAGCGGCTGGGCCCGTGAGCTGTGGCCGCTGAGCCTGCGCGTCCGGAGCCAATGGGAGAGGCCACAACAGTGAGAGGCCCGCGTACTGCAGAAAAAAAAAAAAGAAGGAATTTTCAAAGCTGACTTGGATGACAGAATCTTTTTTTCTGTAGTCTTCAGTTTACCTTTACACCTCTCTCTCACTCTATTTCTGTTTCATTCATTCATTCATTCACTCTGCAAACATTTTGCTGTGTGGGCCTGATAATCTGCTGGGAGATGCCGGGGCCACAGAGTTGAATCGCAACCCACAGTCCACACCCCCCTCAGTTACTGCCTTGTTTTCCTACCATCCTTCCCAGGAACACTTCTCCCTGGAGATCTACCCACTGCTTGCACCCCATAGCCACAGTCTTTTTGGGTCTCCAGAGACTTCCATGTTGAACAATCCAACAGTCACCTGCCTGTCCCCGTCCTACTCAACCTTTAGGCAGCACTCAACATGGCCGGCCCCCCTTCTCTGGGTTTCCTTCTGGGACACCATGCATTTCTGCTTTTCCTCCTTCTCCTGACTCTCCTTCCCAGCCTCCTTCATTAATAGGCCTTTTTTTTTTTTTTCCCTCCGTTGGTGTCTGTACAAACAAGGGTGTTGCCAGGGCTCTATCCTAAGCCTTGTCCTCTGCACTGACTGTATACACCTGACAGTTTCACCTGTCATCTGGGGCAGGTTGGTTCTCAGGTGTCTCCCCAGCTTCCTTCCTGTGCATCCAACAGCCTCCTGGACAATATAAACCCACCTCACCATCTGTCCCCACCAACCTGTCCTGGTCACAGAGCTTTTAAAAACTCTTGGGGGGGCTTCCCTGGTGGCGCAGTGGTTGAGAGTCTGCCTGCCGATGCAGGGGACGCGGGTTCGATCCCTGATCTGGGAAGATCTCACATGCCGCGGAGAAACTAAGCCCGTGCGCCACAACTACTGAGCCCACGTGCCACAACTACTGAAGCCTGCGTGCCTAGAGTCCGTGCTCCACAGCAAGAGAAGCCACCACAGTGAGAAGCCCGCCCCCGCTCACCGCAACTAGAGAAAGCCCGGGCGTAGCAACGAAGATCCAACACAGCCAAAAATAAAATAAATTAATTTATTAAAAGAAACCCAACTCTTGGAATTTCCCAAGTGGTAGGGGAACGATGAGCCTCTTTTGCTTTTCATAATAAATCCCAGTAACCCTATTTGAGTTTATGTTAATGAAGTGACAGGATGGGGGAGGAAATGGGGGCTGGCTGCTAGGGGAACCAACCAATTGATTGGAGGGGTTGGAACTCAGAGTCCCACCTTCCGACCTCAGGGCAGGAGAGAGGCACAAAGGTCCCGGCTGGAGATGCACAACCCAGGGCCCCTTGAAGGAGGGCCCCATACCCCGTTCCTGAACACCAGCTATGGAAACTTCTGCCTTAGGTCTGTTCAATCTGCAACGGAGTCTCCTTAGGTCTCAGCAAATAGAGCAGCAGGCGGCACAGCTCAAAACGCGTGGCCGCGGGGCCAGTGAGCCAGACGGCAAGATGAGAAAGACCTCGGAGGCCGTGGACAAAAAGTGTCACCTGCCGCACCAGTAAACAAAGGACGTTGCCGCCGTCGAGCCATCGACAGCCACTTCGGCCACCGAGGACTGTGCGCCCTGCCGGGATTCAGGATGGAGAGAAACGGGATACTGGCCCTGCATAGCTGAGGTGCACATCAAAGGAGTGATTTCAACGAGCCCAGACTCTGGCATCTTCCCACAGAGAAAAGCATGAAATTCACTAACTGGAGGTGCTTGTTTGTTGACTTTCTTTAATGCACGGTAATCTCTTGACGTTCCCGACTGTCTGGCTTTTGTTGCTAACGCTCCAGTGTATATCCTGGTTCCTCCCTTATCTTTGACGCTGTCCCTCAGAGCTCTCTGAGAGGCCGTCCCCCGGGCTTAAGTCCTCAGCATGTCTGCTGAATAAAACGTAATTCCCACCTTTTAGGTTGTGCGTTTTTTTTTCAGTGGACAAGGTGGTGGTCCCATCTAGACCCCCACTCACAGTGCCAACGGTGGTCACCCCACAGGGGCAGAAAGGACCCTTTGCTGCAGGTGTGGCATCGTTTTGTTTGTTTGAGTTTCTTTGAGGGGGGGGCCGGGGGGCGCACACCGTGCAGCATGTGAGATCTTGATTCCCTGATCAGGGAGCAAACCTGCACCCCCCTGCAGTGAAAGCATGGAGTCCTAACCACTGGCCCGCCAGGGAAGTCCCCATGTGGGGCATCACGAATCATGACATCTGAACCAATCCTTGGATGGCGGACTCCGTCCTATTTCTGTGGGATGGCTACATTATCCTTCCTTACCCCTTCCTCCAAAAAACCTGACCTGGGTCTCTGGCCTCTTCAACCCTCTCACAGCCTGTCCGCTTCTTTCATCTTAGCGTTGAATTTGTTAGAACGGAACTGCGGGCTTATATGCGTGTTGTTCCCGTTTGCCTGGTAAGTCCAGCCTCGTCCCTTAAACAAGGCAGTGGTTCAGCACGGTCTGGGCCCTCCTTCCAGACTTGAGGGGGCTGCCCCTGAAGAGGGTCTCAGAAGAGAGATACAGGAATGTGTCTCCATCAGCCTGGATGGATTCAACTCACCGGCGGATTTTCCTTAGTCTAGGTCTACACTTCTGTAAAATGGGGAGCTGACATTTCCCCAACCGGGGCCTTGGGGAAATGGCATGAAAGGGCTTTATCTGCTGGACCAAAGACAGGAAGTATCGTGTTCTCTTTGACTCTCCTCTCTCTGCTTTGTTCTCTTCCCCAGTCTTTTCACCTCCTCTCTCCCTCCACCAGCCTCCAAATTCCTTCCTGCCCAGGATGTTAAAACTCCCCTGGGCAAAGACAGGGAGGAGAGGACGGTGCGGCTGCAAAGTCCCTGGAGACGGCAGGGAGGAGGGTGGTCTGAGACGCCTGCCACCTGGCTGGCCTTCTTGAATTAAGGTCTTGTTGGCAGTCAGCATCTCCGTCTCAGCTATGTCCTTATTTTCTGTTCCACGGGAAGGATTTGGGCGGCTACCTCTCATTCTCTCAAATACACAGCTGCCACCCAAGGTCTCTTGCTCTGGCACTGGGGCCTTGGAGGAAGCATAACAATGACATCAATAATAAGAACGACAATAATACTAACGAGAGCAGCCACTTAGTAAGCGTTCACTCCGTACCGGGC